CTGAATAAATGATTAATTAGAATACTAGTTTACAAAGCTAGGTTTAATGGCTTTGTAGCGCTGTCCTGTTTCCCATAAATATCTGTAGAATAATGTGATGCAATATCTGCAGCACAGAAATCCACTCAGTGCCTGGAGAAACGATTGCGTTTTAAATAACCATCAGAGGTTACCTCTCGTGGATGTATTATTGCATAACTAAAATTCAGGTTTCATGAACGGCCTTTTATTATAGATTATATCAATATGTCATGATTTGTACATCGATTTTATAATAGGGCTGAACATAGCATACTTGAAATATGTACAAATGATACATAAATATATATAGAGCAGTCTGTTCACAGATTTTCAGCAAAAGCCAAACCTCCTGGCAACAGTTCCAGTGAGAGAATTTTAGTGCTAGTGTCAAAGTGATGTCACACACTCGTTTCAGCATGTGCAATTAATGAATTACTTTCGATAACGAGCTTCGTTTATTTTTTTCACCGTTCTTTGGCAGCAGACTCTTTGCCATTACCTGCAACTCAGCGTCTGTTGACCTCTAACCCTGGTCAATTCAAAAACGTTTGAAGAGAAAGGCAATTTTTGCAGTCAATTTAAGAAGGTTGGTTTAAAAGTAACCGAGGGTGGCAGCACCGGTGGCTAAAAAATCAAGTCGCATCGTTCACCTAGTACGCCAGTGAATGTCGAAAGATGGCAGCGATTGAGAACCTGGTCATAAATTAAGTTTTTCCCTTCGAAACTACCGCTAGAGAGTGTAGTCGAATACACGAACCTCTTTTCGGGCCGTGCGCCTTTTTCGGCTTTGAGTTTCCAACTTCTGGTCGGCAATGGCAAAACCTTTAGCTGAGCTTCAGCTGCTTTCAGGAATTTTGCCAGCATTCTTTTCGTCACACATCAAGAAGTGCACTTATTAATTTGAGACAAATACGTAATTTGGTTCGATGGTAGTATCGATGCAGTTGGGGGTAGTAGGAAAACCCTCAAATATGAGGGTTAGCTGCGAAATAAGGGGAGAACCGAACGAAGAAGCAGTCGCTGTCAATGTCACTACAGTGCCAAGTGGATGCGATGCGCCAGCTTTTGGCAAAATTGGCTCTAGAAAACACCACATGACCCTATAACATGGTGAGTATATGACGCTAGGATCAACGAGCCGTTGCCGGTTCCCAGTCAGGATGGGGAAAACGGGTTGGCGTCCGGCAGGCAGCTGACCTCAAAAACCAATGCCAACGACAAGTATGACGAGTTAGCATACCTCAAAAAGAAATTTAGGGGGTTCTCTACAGTCGACGCTCAGCAGCAAATCCCGGCGGCTGTAAGAAATGAGCAAAGGTACCAGTTATTGCGACGACAGAAATCTCAAAGGGAGAGACTGACATGCCAAAGACGAAGCAAGAAAAGGGAAAAGCAAATTGCCATCCGGAACATTAGAACGATGACGGGAAAGGGCATGGAGCTAGCGGACGTTCTTCAGAAAAGAAAATTTCAGGTCGTTGGGAAGGCGAAAAGTCGAAAGTGATTGAGCTAGGCTATAGAAAACTTATTTACTTGAAACATCAAACGCAAGAAGTGGAGTTGGAATGGTACTGAATGAAGCGACCAAAAATTGAGTACTCGAAGTCAATCGAATTAACGACAGAGTCATGGGCGTCAAGCTGATTTTAGAAAGTGGTGTCTTAAATTTTATGTGCCTAAGCCCCTCAGACTGGCCAGAGTGAAGCCAAAAAGTCGACGTTCTGGGAGAGGCTAGATACTGCACCCGAAGCGAGACAGTGATAATCAGGGGTGGCCTTTATGGACACGTCGATAAACATCAAACAATTTACGACAGGATACATGTAGGACACGGACATGGTATGTTAAATAGCGAAGGAGCGAACATCTTGCAGGTGGCAGTTGCATATGATCTGCCTCTGATAAGCACATTCTTCCAGAAAAGAAAAAACCACCCGCTAATTTGCAAGAGCGGGCGGAAGAAAAGTCAGATCGACTACTTCCCAATCCGAAGGAACGAACTGAAGAACTTCAGAGATAGCAGGGTTAACCCCGGGGGAATCTGTTACAAGCCAGTATCAGCTATTGGTTCTAGACCTCTCCTTCTGAAACAGCCATTCAGGCGATGGGCACGGCGAGAGCCCCAGAAGATAAGGCAGTGGAAACTTGAAAGGAAGCTGAAAGAAGGGTTCAAAATGGAAGTTACGAGAAAAATGACGAAGGAAGATTGGAATAGGAAAAAGGACGAAGTATGGGAGCAGATGTCCAGCATGATCATACGGAATGCTAGAGGCCTAGTCGGCGAAACAGAAGGCATGGCACGTATCCAGGAAGAAACATGGTGGTAGAATGCGGATGTTCTGGCGACCCTAGACAGAACAGAAGGTCGAAATCACCACGAAGAGAAGGAAGGAAGTCGACATCACCACGAATCAATTTGACTTTATGCCAGGCAGATCAACCACGGATGTTATCTTCGCTTTGAGATTAGTCCTCAAAACATACGTGGAAGGCAGACAAGACATTCACATGGTGCTCCTAGACCTGGAGAAAGCCTCTGGTAGAATTCCAAGGGAAGCAATCTGATGGAACATGAGAAAGTAGTTTGTGCCAGTAAACAGTCAGAATAACCAACGAAATATACGACAGAGTGACAACGATAGTTCGAAATACATACGACGAAACATGGAAGAGTTCCCTGTATAGGTACGAGTCCACTGTGGATCCATACTGAGCCTATTTCTGTTCACGACGGCGACAGACGCGATAATTGAGGATCTGCAGGAAGCAGCCTCATGTTGCATGCTCTATGCAGATGGCACTGTGCTGTTCAGCGAAAGCAGGGAAGCACTAGAAGAAGAAATCGAGGCATGGAGAACAACTCTTGAGAAGAACGGCCTGCGACTCATCAAAGGTGAGCCCGAATACATGGTGGGCTATTTCGGTGGGAGGAACGGACTGAAAGCCATGAAACCAGTGACAGTAATGGAAGCGTGTTGCGTCAAACTCATGAATTCAACTATCTTGGTTCCATTATGCAAAATAACGCGGAAATCGACTGTGAGATAAAAAATCGTCGATATAAGCATGGCTCAATCAGAGAGAAGTGAGCGGAGTACTGTACGAGAAGAAGACAACTGAAGGAGAAGGTGTACAGAACGATAGTAAGACCGGTGCTTCTGTATGAAGCGGAATATTTGGCTACCCTGAAGAGACACGAGCAGCTGAACTCGGTTAAGATGCGAACGCTCAGATGGATGTGTAGATGTCAGTAGAAACGACCAATTCCAAACAACTTCATAAGAAACAGTCTACACCACCAATCACAGAGAAGCTTATCGAAAGCAGGTTCCATGGATTCGGTCACTTCAAAAGAAGACCCATCGAGTACGTTTGAAGTTTGGTCGAAGCAATGATACCGCCACGGAAGGATAGAAGGAGAAAGCCAAAAAAAGCTAGCGCGATGTCATCAAGAACCATACGAAACTGCGCTGAGTCACTGAAGATCTAACCAACGAGGTTGATCCGATTAGCGGACCCCTGTTAAAGGGAACATGCTTGAATAAAGAACAAGAAGAAGCTAATTTTAATTTCTCCATTAATTTTAACTGATGAACGAAAATCGTTAAAACTTTATGAATCTTGAACGAACATCATGGGATTATTGGTACAAGTAAGGATTTCAGATTAACGAGGAAGGTATCACAAATGAACTCCGCCTATGGCCTAAATCAAAGTCTGTGTCTTCAAATAGAGAAGGATGATCGGAGGACGGTAGTGGAAATTTCTCAGATCCTAATTTATGCTAAATATACAAGCTGTATCAAGTTATCGAAAGAAAAATTATCCCTTGTCACATTGCATATTCTAGCAAATGTCACATGATAAAATTAGCGTCAGCCTTAATATCATTTTGTTGTACATGCTCTCTCTCCCTCTTGAACAGGGACACAGTTTTAGTATTGAAATTTGCGACACAGATATCATCATTCATTGAAGAGATAGGTACATGAAAGTAAATTTTTTGCGCAGAGGTGCAGAACACAAATTTATAAATCATGGCAGTCAAAGCGCTAAAAGGGATGATGCTTGCTTTTCGATTTCTGATACCATTCCACTGTTCCAGTACCAATTGCTGACTAGCCATCGTCCATTATAAAAAGAGCAGAACAATTTTCGTAGGGTGTTAGTCCTCACGGTGTCCTCAAATTTATTCATTTGTTCGTTCGCACGTTCATTCATTAATTCATTTTCAGGGCCGCAATTTCTTTGGCTTCTAGAAGACTGTTGCGTCAGAAATCCCTTGTATTGGTCCTGCTCTTTTACCGGTTGAGTAAACTCTGCTTCAGTATTTGCCAAAGAGCTTTCATTGTGATTCTAAATATAATCCTTTCCGACCTGACGATCCAAAGGGCCGGTACAGTTTGAGTTGCCTATTATTTTACAATATGAAGTTGTCTAGCTGCTTATTATCTCTGAATTAATTTCAGGCACAGTGTATTCATTCAACGTCTAAAGTGTTCATTTCATTATTATAGGACGTTGTTTAGAAAATTGGCAATTTAGTAGAAATTGGATGACAAAACAGAATTTTCTGTAGCACTCACTGTGCTACTTTATTTTGTGAATAAGTCCAGTTATGATTTTATAATGATAGCCTGAATACAATGCAAGCAATGCTGCGTTTCTATGCCTTTTCTTGCTTGTGGTCATCACTAGACTAGAAAGTTCTTGCTAGCACCAAAATATTGACAGAGAAGATAAAGCTTTTCAGTTTTCCTAGATACAACGGGTTTACCCTTTAGCTGGTAAAAAATATTAAATACGTAGGGCTTTAATACTTTGTTATTTGACTTTCCTAGTCATGCTGAAGTTCTCATCAAAATTTTGCTCTTCGACTTCCATGAAATGCGCACTGAATACATTCATGATCCAGCTATGATACTGAAGATCGGCTCCATCTAGGAAATATCTCGCCCTTTATTAAGGGAGCTTCTTCAGATGACCGTTGGAAACAGATTGAGTGCTATTGCTGACGAAATTCTAGCCCAGCACTCAGTTTTGGGATGACAGCCGTCATTCCTTTCCAAAGTACATTTTTACACAATATTTCCACCATAGCTTGATTACCAGTTCCTACATTCATTTCGCCTGATAGTCGAATTTACTGTATTTAACTTTTTCACTATTTCAGTAATGCACATAATATCTGAGTTTCTGACGTCATTGTAATTGCAATATTTCATATTTTTTGTGAAGGCCTTTCAGCGATGCTCCTGAGTATCTCTACAACCATCGCTATAGTTCTTGTGATGACCTGGAGTTTGTGAGCTACTGCCTAAGACGACGTACCTCTGAAACATTACCAAGTGAATGCAAGAAATGCTGCATAGAGGAAACAGTAAACACCGTCACTCAAAGAACAAAGACCCAACTGTATAGCTCGAAAAGAAGGAAGATTGCTAAGAAGATCCCACTCAAGTCAAGGAACAGTGCAAAAATACCTCCAGTACTTGAAGCACGTGGTACAGGAGGAATGTTTCTAGCGGTTAGAAGATACCGGCGTCATGTAAGAGAAAGCGGAGTGAAAAGGCAGGGAGAAAATAAGAGGAAATAGTCGTTCATTTCTGCGACAATTTTAACCGTGAAAGAGGATGCGAACTCTCTGCGGATTGGATAGATATTGGGGCTTCTTGCGGAAAACCTACTTAACAGTTATCACTGGCCGAAAGCAAGCGTTCTGGTTGTGAATGTACGAAATGTTGCAAACGACATAAAAGACATCTGAAGCTTACCCACCTCTCAACCCTGAAGAAGGTTCGTGACACACGAGTGAACTGGAACGTCGGTACCAGTCAATCATCCGAATGATCAAACTGCTTACGTTCAGTATAAGCAAACTGAGGCTTGTGCTATTTTCAGGTGAAACCAGAATGACATTCATTTACTCCATAATTCATTCATTCCCTCATTAATCGATTTAATGACTAACTGACTGACTGACTCATTCAATCGTTCGTTTAATGATACGTTCACTCGAGAGAGAAAAAACCTATCTCAACCGCCAATTCCCTCCAGGAAAGAATTCACCTCACATTGGTCCTGCGTAACTAGGCCGCATACGGGTGGTAAGTCGCTGACTTATGAACAACAGGGGCTACCTGTGTTCTGATGTGGTCGTTCCAAAATGTGTTGGAGGTATGGCCATACTGGTATCTACTTATTCAATGCTATAATATTCCATGTTGTTTATTTCTTTCATTGGTTCACTGATTTTCGTCGAAACCTACCGTTTTTCTGAAGTCACAAGGTACGAGTCTCATGTCGCCTTTTCAGTGTCTTGGTTGGCTGCCAAACGGATGACCTGAATGACCTATCATAAGTTGAAGTACATCACTCATTCCTGTTTGTACTCTAATCCATTTGTTTTTAACATACAGCCTTTCCATTGGGTCATTAATTAATTACAGACTTGTCCAGACTCACAACGTCAATCATATTTGATGGATGCTTATGTTATTCATTTTTAAATACCGTTGTACTGAGACGAGATGAACTTCCGTTTGCAAGTTAGCTTTGCAGATTATTAAGCGATGCACAGAACGGTACTTAATGCACAATTTATTTCATTATTACAAAGATGATGAATTGCCAAAATGACAGCGGCCAATGACACGATGACCACGGCCATCACCAAAGCTATAACACAACAAATTATTTTTGATTTCGATCGTACAAACCGCAGCAACGATGTGTACAAAAATAAAACGTAGAATGCTGACTGCTTATACCAAAAGATCATAACCGTAGCATAGCGAGCGAAAGGGGGTGGGCAGACGTACGCGAAGGGAGAGTGTTTCGCATGCAAGTGCGCTAATAACACAACCGTCGACGACAAACGTCGACCCACGACTAATTGAACATCACGCTTGCCTGGGGGTGGGGACGGGAATCAACGGATAGACAACGACGAGAACCACAGTACTGCACACACACACACACACACACACAGAGTGACCGGCTAACAGACGGATGGACCAGGGAACGGTACAAGCCATAAGTGCATAAGCAAACGGAGTGTTCTTAACAAACAGGCGCCGAAAACGAATGAACTATTTGAGTATTGGCGCCAACTGTACAAAAACGATTGCAACCATTTCATTTCGTCATGGAACTGGCAAAACACTGTTATTAGTAAACAACAAAAAAGCACCCGAAATTGACAAGAAAAATCAAACTTGTGAATAATAATAATCGTCATAAAAAATGCAATGGATATGATTTTCGGATATCGTTGTAGACGAGAAAACAAATTAACATGAACAGGAAGAAAGGCCACAAATCCTAGCAATGATTTCTCCTCACTGATAAAACAATGGAGCCGAAGTCGTCCTCAAGGCATAAACGACATGTCTTATTTCAAGAATGTCAACAATCTTTGGAAAGAAGAAAACAAACAGAAGACGAACGAGTGTAAACAAACGAAAGCGCTGTACACGTACAAATTATGCACAGGTTAAAGCTTGCCCAAGACCCAGCGTTGAAGGCGCTGGATGTCGTCGTGTGCAAAAAGTGTGGACAGCAGAGAACGGAACCGTACGACTAGAATGAACCACTGAACACAGAGAAACGGAAACGAAAACGGAAACGGAACTGCAGAGCACAAACCTATGTACAACCGACTAGCGATACACCCCAACTGCGATATGAAACTGAACCAGAGTACATGTGCGAACGCACTGACACGTGCGACACGACCATTATGACAATGACCTCGACAATGACCACGACAACGACACCGTTATCACATGGCGTCGATGCAGGACCTGTCCTCAAGGAGGTACGGGCTGCCGCAGTCGAAGCCACCACCACCAACGCCACCGCCGTTCAGCAGATGTTGCTTGTTGGGCATGTCTCCGTTGGCGTCCACCTCCTTGATATCCGGCTCGCTTTCGATCTCGACAAAGTCCTTGACGCTGTCCGACTTGTTCGAGCCGGTCGACGAGCCGG